GGAAGTTATCGCTGACATTGCTTAGAACTGTTAAGAGTATGGGCTTCCCAGGTGGTGCTATTGGTAAAGAACCTGCCTGTCAATGCAGGAGACCAGAAGTCACGGGTTTGATCCTTGGGTCGGGAAGATCTGGAGGAGGGCCTGGCAACCCACTCCAGTATTCTTGCCTGGAAAATCCCATGGACAGAGGAGCCTGATGGGCTGTAGTCCATTGGGTTGTAAAGAGTTCAACACAACTGAAGCAACTTTTCATGCACATGCATGTTAAGAGTATGGTGATATTAAGATGTAGCTGTATATTAGTAGATTACATTATTGTTTTTAAGTTATCTGCAGACTGTGTACCTCTTACTGCCTACACCCCTCGGGGTTCATTATACCAGTTGTGATACACCACTTACCACCTCTATAGGAAGAATTAATTGAAAAAGAAATACCTATATGTTAATGTAATGGGAGAACTGTCTCTTCTGACTTAACAGAGGAAAGGATTAATATGAATAAGGAAAGGATAACATGAATTGCTCAAGCGATTTGTCATCCAGCATGCGGAACATTTGTTATGTTCCAGTACTTCAGGATTTTATTTCTAATAACCAGATAACTTCTTCAGAGCAGCTGTTACCTGTCTATGATATGAGAAAATTGAAATTCAGAGATGTGGTAATTTTGCAAATGAGTTATAACTCCAGTCTGTAACATAAAAGTTCATAGGTTTTCTGGTAGGCATCATTCATCTCTTCAGCAACTATCTCATTTCAAATGAGATACTAGGGAATTCCTTGGTGGTCTAGTGGTTAGGATTCAGCGCTTTCACTGCTTGGGCCTGGATTCAATCCCTTTTGGGAAACTAAAAGTCTGCCAGCCACAGCATGACCACAAATAAAATAAAAATGGGATTCTATCGGATAGTGCTTCTATTTTTGGTTAGGTGTAATATGACTTATTTTGTTTGTTTTGATTATGTCGCTTATGAGATATTTTCTAAACTAGATTTGAGAAAAGCTTGGCCATCTTACATATCTTCTTTGATAAAGAGTTCTTGAACTACAGGATTATGAGTTTATCTGCTTGCAAAGTTGTATTTTGGAACACTTTATTTTTGTTAAAATTAACACTGAAATCAAGCTTCAAAGTCTGAAGAGTGTACAAAAGTTTGTTAATTTATGAAAGGTAAATTTAATAAGGACAAAAATATTAGCATAAACAGTTCAGGAATCATATCACTTGTCTCCAGTTTCTTTTTATTCTTACTTTCGACATTTCATTGATCCCACAGAAATCCAAAATTTTAGGAAGGAAAATAAAGTCATAATAAAAGCTTATAATTACTTCCTAGAGGGCAATTTTGTTTATAAAGAAGTACCCAGATGACATCTTCTAACAAAATTAGATCATTTTTAGCTCTGTTTTGGGTTGAGTAGATCAGGACCTTAGAAGCCAGTGTGAAGAAAAGGATATCTGACATGGGAGGATCAGGTTAAAAAAAACCTGAAATTCTGGTAGATCCAGAAATTTGATCAACTGCACACACTTCAGTTTTCAAAGAAATGTGCTAAACTTGGATTCTAAAAAGCTAACTTCAATAAGGTGATGATAACCATAACAATTCTTAAGTGCCTGCTATAAAGGACAGATACTTTTCTTGTCCTTACAGCAACAATCAAGAAAGATTTTGTTACAAAGACTTTTTGTTACAAAGATCTTATTACAAAGGAGGTGTCGGGAGGCTAAACAGCTTTTCTAAGATTGTATTTCAAGTAGGTGAAAGTATTTATATTTTAAGTTGCATTTTGTCTCTCAAAGCATGATCTTATTCTAGCAGATCTAACTTGTCAAGGGCAAATAATCCTGTCCGTATTTTAATGGGCCCAGGAAGCAGGAATTTTGAAAGTGAAAGTCACACAGTCGTGTCCGACTCTTTGCGACCCCATGGACTGTCCTTGGAATGAGGGATGGGATGGGGAGGGAGGTGGGAGGGGGGTTCAGGATGGGGAACACATGTAAATCCATGGCTGATTCATGTCAATGTATGGCAAAAACCACTACAATATTGTAAAGTAATTAGCCTCCAACTAATAAATATAAATGAAATAAATAAATAAAAGCAGAAGAAAAAAAAAAAGAGAGAGAATACTGGAGTGGGTAGCCTTTCCCTTCTCCAGGGAATTGTCCCAACCAGACAGCGCTATATTTGTTATTCAGATACTTGTCATTCAGGTAGTCAACCTGCTTTTAAGGAAGAGGGAAAAGGTAAGACAGAAAAGTTCAAAGTTTAGGCCATGGTAAGCTAGGCACAAGAAGGGTTAGGCTGGATAATAGTTCCTGAGGAAGTGAACCTGAGTTCAGGGCAGGTCCCAGAACCCAAGAGTGAACTACAGTGCCTATCAATAAATCAAGGCAGAAGCATAGTCTTGGTACTGGCATGGCAAGAAGGAAAATACTAGAGGTGTGTGGGCATCTCAACTTTATTTATGGGTTCTAGATTTCAACAGCTAGTTGGTATGCATCTGCCTTTGTCAAGATGATAAACTGCTGTGCTGTTTTGCTGCTGTTTTTAATTGTAGAAAGTTGAAGTGGAACTCTGAGTTCAAGGATAGCTGCTTTGCTCCCATTTTCTCTTTTTCACTTAGCACAGTCCTTGACAATCAGAAGATGCTGAATAAATAATTGTAGATTTTTGGATGGAAAAATCCACATGGCGTGATAATAAGTTAAGGATCATCCCAACTATGAAATGATTTATGAGCCATCATATTTTCCTTTCTGGTCAGAATACTGCTGATTCAAAACAATAAAGGAGTGAGATTCTTCCCGATACACAGGATGAGGCAAGGAAGTAATCGGATCTTGAAATCAACTAAACACCAAATGATTCTTTTTACTTGTTGACTTTCTCTGTGGCACCATTACTATCAAATGGTCTTAGTTATCATTTAGTGCTAAATGCACTTATCTTTTATATTGTCTTGGATGCCCCACCCTTCAAAGTTTCATAAGTGCCCTTGGTACAGCCTCGCTCCCCTTCTCCCCCCTTTTCTTCTTCCTTTCTTTTCTCCTTCCTTCCTCCCTCTCTCTCTCCCTTCCTCCCTCCTCCTCTCCCCTCCTTCTTTCTTTCTTTCCTTTCTTTTCATTTCTTTTTAAATTTTCTCTCCTTTTTTTTACATTTTTTGTTGTACCTAGTCTACTTGGTTTTATAATTTAGTTTGTTTACCTAGCTAAACTTTTCAGTAAATACTTTCCTCTCTTTTTTTCATCCTTATGTACAGTATAGTTCTTTAGTTAGTAGCCTGTCTTTTGTTTGAAGTTTATGAATATGGTCTTGGAGGTTACATGTGAATTTGCATTCCAGAGCTTGCATTTATAACTTATGTGGAAAGTTAAGTGTTATAATGATTAATTTCCTCATCTGTAAAAAGAAGAGACAGACAGACAGATAATATTTCATGTAGTTTTTCTGTCAGTCCTTGCTTTATTGTTACTTGCCAAGCACCTGCCCTCTGGGAGTTTTTAAACTTGGCTAATGTCAGCAACTGGGTTGTTGAAATTCAAACCCAGTTCATTCAGACTTGAAATCTAATAAACCCTTTCCAATACACCATACTATACTCTGTATTATAGTTACTTTCTCTGTAGCAGCAGAATGACAAAGCAATGTGCTGATGGTGACTCTTCTTTCCAATTCCTCAAAGGGATTTATTATCTAAAAATATTCTCCCAACTGTTTCACTGATTCTTTTTTAAATGTTTTATGTGCCTTAAACTGTTATGCTCCAAATTAGCCTATATTCTTAGCCTATAAACCTAATTTCTACTCTGAGAAAAAAATTACCATCTAGCTATAAAGAGGATCTATATTAGTTTTCGTTAATGTAAAGCACAAACTTATTTATTCCCTAGGGAGAAGAAGTGAACTTTTTTCAACAACTGAACAATACTAAGGATTTTTCAGGCTGAATTATTATAGAAAGAAATAGTATACTATACTTTATACTAATAAAACTACAAGGAACTCTATATTGTCACACCTGTCATCATCACCATCATCATTATCATCACCACCACCGTTTAAACAACAGCCCCAACTTTGATCTGTTAAATAAATTGTACAGTGTATCAAAAGTAACTTGCTGTTAAAGCACACAAACATAGACTACATACTCATATTTTCAAATTATTTCCTTTTAAATTAAAAGTTATTTTGTAAGTTATATTTGATAGCAGGTTTTCCCATATTATTGTCATTTATTTGTGCTTTATGCCTTCTTTGGTCAGAAAGAAGTGGAATTACATATAGGAAGAGTCAGAGGTATATCCAAAAAGGTGAATTTTTACTATGAATGCCAGTTCCTTGGTTCTAATCCAGCAAAGTAATTTTGGGTAATTACCATGTACTGAAAATTTTAAGTATATATAACCAATCTCATCTATGTAGATATTTGTATAATCTATAAGTACACACATGAACACAAGAGAAGTGTGAGCACGGAGGAGTAGCTCAGTATTTGAAACACGAGTTATGAAAAAAGCAAAAGAAAATCCTGTTTTTCAGGACTGCTGGAAAGAATTAGTTTAAGGCAAAATAGTATTAGACATGATTTTAGCAATGCCATACTTTTAAGGGTGTAATAATTTCACATTGACTAAAGAATAGTCTTGAAAGTAAATTAATAATAAATGTTGACATTGGATACTGGCAAATTATTGTTTAGTTTGACTTCATTATGAGCTCCTCACTTAATTATTGTGCTCTCAAACAGGATCTATATTTATTCCTGATGCTGTATTTTGTATGCTTTAGTTGCATGATTGTAAAAGTATTTTGCCAAGTTCTTAGCTTGTAAAACTGCCTATCATACTATTCAGTGTGTGCTGTAACATAGTTGTAATAATACTATTTAAGAAAATTAATGATATTAAAAATATAGCCAAAATAGAAGTCAAACTCCTTTTTATGAGGTTATTCAATTATTAATGATTCTTATTTATTTATATTTTAGCACACAAATCAATTTCACAGTGGCTATTGATTTTACTGCATCAAATGGTGAGTATTATGACTATCTTATAATAAGAATTATCATCTATTACATTAAAAATAAATATTTTCATGAGGTTTAGATATTTTCTTTCCACATATATATACTTCTGAAGTGCTTCATAAAAAATTCAGATAATTTTCCTTTTTTTAATGTTATAAAATAGTTTAAGACTATAAGAAATACAACAAAAGTCCATAATAGTCCCATTCAAATTTATTAACTATTGAAATACTGTCTCTTTTGTTTTACACATTTTTAAAAGGAAAACTTTAAATTTAGTTAAACCCATTGTGTATCCTTCCCTTTTTCTCCATACATAGCTGTAATTCTGAAGCATGTCTAACTATAATCCTCATTTTTATAGTACTTTTTTGTACATTCATTTATATAAATGTAGTTCAAGTACATGAACCTTGCTTTTCTTTTATCCAACTGTTTTTAATAATTACTCATGCTAGCACATTTATATTGAATTGATTCAGAGGGATCATCAACTAAATCCCATGCTGAGTGTAGAAAAGAAAGAGGAACTAGAGATCAAATTGCCAATATTCACCGGATTATAGAGAAAGCAAGGAGTTTCAGGAAAACATCTATCTCTGTTTCATTGACTATGCTAAAGCCTTTGACTGTGTAGATCATGACATATTGGAAAGTTCTTAGAGAGATGGGAATACCAGACCATCTTACCTGTCTCCTGGGAAACCTGTATGTGGGTCAAGAAGCAACAGTTAGAACCCCATATGGAAAAACTGTTGGGTTCAAGATCAAGAAAGATGTACAACAGGGCTGTCTGTTGTCACCCTGTTTATTTAACCTATATGCTGAGCATATCATGAGAAATGTGGGCTGGATGAGTTACAGGCTGGAATCAAGATAGGCGGGAGAAACATCAACAACTTCAGACAAATGGATGACACCACTGTAATGGTAGAAAGTGAAGAGGAACTAAAGAGCTGCTTGATGAGGGTGAAGGAGGAGAGTGAAAGAACTGACTTAAGACTAAATAGTTTAAAAAGTAAGATCATAGCATCCACCCCCATTGATCCTTGGCAAACAGAAGGGCAAAAGGTAGAAGTAGTGACAGATTTCCTCTTCTTGGGTGCCAAAATCACTGCACATGGTTGACTGCAGCCATGAAATCAGATGATTGTTTCTCAGCAAGAAAGCGATAACAAGCCTACACAGTGTGTTGAAAAACAGAGACATTACTCTGCCAACAAAGGTCCATATAGTCAAGGCTATGGTCTTCCCAGTGGTCACTTACAGTTGTGAGAGCTGGACCACAAAGAAGGAAGAATGCCAAAGAATTGATGCCTTCAAAATATGGTGCTGGAGAAGACTCNAAGAGTTGGACACGACTGAGCAACTAACACATAACATGACAGGACTCTTTACTAAGACAAACCCAGGCCTGATGGCATAAGGAGAAGCCAAGGAACTTAACAGTAACTGCTGTTTATACTGCTCCTCCTTAGGGAAGAATGCCAGAAGTAATTCCTTAAGAATGGTCTGTTATTGCCAATCAAGCCATAAATGAGAAGATTTGGCAATTAATTCCCAAGCCAAAACCACTGTCCCTATGGTAACCCACTCCAGTATCCTTGCCTGGAGAATCCCACGGACAGAGGAGCCTGGTGGGCTATAGTCCATGGGGTCACAAAGACTTGGACACGACTTAAGTGACTGAGCATGCACGCATGCACAAATGTGACAGTTGATTATTTATCAGTTTGTTCACAATGCTGTCCACAGTTATGTGTATTCACAGACTTTCCTACATTTTTCAGTAAGACTTATGATTTCCCTCTTCACCAAACCTGTAGTCCCCTAAGGCATCAGTGCTGTCCCAGGAGAATTTTGCCTGAAGCACAAAATTCATTGCATTCTCAGCTTCATCATCATCTCTTGCAGAAAACACTTCTGCTTTTCTTGCAAAAGATGCATGCTGTGACTTCTTCCTAGGCTGTTGGAAGAACAAACATTCTGGAAATGAATTTGTTTCCATGCAGTTGCAAAGCAAAGCGGATATGCCATTGTTGCATTCATAAAAACATGTTTACCAACACGACTCTCCATCTGCTGTCCACAAACCATATGGTGTGTGTGTGTGTGTGTGTGTGTGTGTGTGTGTGTGTGTGTGCTCAGTTGCTCAGTCATGTCTGACTCTTTGCAACCCCATGGATGATAACCTGCAAGGCTCCTCTGTCCATGGAATTTTTCAGGCAAGAATACTGAGACTGGTTGCCACTTCCTGCTCCAGGGGATCTTCCCGACCTGGAGATTGAACCCATGTCTCTTGCATCTCCTGCATTGGCAGATGGATTCTTAAGTGCTGTGCCAAATAAAAACATATAAACTGGAATAGAAAATGACTTATTAACCTTATGAAGGGAAATATGAAAAATCTATAGCAAACATCATTCTTAAGAGTGAAATCTGGATGCTTTCACCTTAAGATGAGGAAAAGAACAAGGATGTGAGCTCTCTCTTCTTCTATTTTACATTGTACTGGAGGCCAGGGCAATTAGACAAGAAAAAAATAAAAGATATCCAGATCAGAAAGGAAGAAGTAAAATTATTTTTATTTGCAGATGACATAATCTTGTATGTAACACATACAAAATCCTAAAGAATCCACTAAAAATCAGTTAAAATAAATGAGTTTAGCAAGATTTAAGGATGAATGATAAACATAAAAAAATCAGTTCTTTTTCTATACACTTCTAATGAACAATCTGAAAATGAAATTAAGAAAACAATTCCATTTTTTAATAATATCAAAAGGAATACAGTACTTAGAAATAAATTTAACAAAAGATTCTTTACCATCTGAGTTACCAGGATAGTGAGTGCAAAATTTATACCCTGAAATTATATGCTGAAAAACTTTGAAAGAAATTAAGCATGAAAATAAGCTGAAAAACATGCCGTGTTCATTGATTAGGAAATTCAACATTGTTAAGATGTCAATATTTTCCACAGAGATTATCAGATTCACTGCATCTCTATCAGAATCTGAAAGATTCTTCAAATTTTTAAAAGAAGTGGATAACTGACCCACTGACCCATATATGGATAAATTCATATGGAATTTAAAGAGATTCAGAAGAACCAAAGCAGATTTGGAAGGAATACAAAAGAATAAAGCAGGAAGATTCATACTCCTCACTTTCAAAACTTGCAATAGTAATTTCAAGGCAGTGTGGAGCTGGCATAAAAATACTAATAGATACATAGATCAATGAACTAGAATTGAGATTCCAAAAATAAACCCATGCATATTAAGTTAACTGATTTTGAGACGAGTACCAAGACAATTCAATGGGGGGAAGAATATTGTCTTCAGCAAATGGTACTGGCACAACTGAATGCCCATATGCAAAAAAAAAAAAAAAAATGAGGTTGGACCCTAGCATCATATACAACACTAATAGAAAATAGATCAAGAATCTAAATGTAAAGTTTAAAAATTTAAAGCTATTAAAAGAAAACAGAGATATATTTTCATGATCTTGGATTTGACAATTGATTCTTAAATATGACACCAAACACATGAGCAACAGAGAAAAAAATAAATAAATTGAGCTCCATCAAAGTTAAAACTTTTTTATGCTCCATGAAGCATAATTAGCAAAGTCAAAAGACAAACCCCAGAATGAAATAAAATGTTAGCAAATCAGATATCTCATAGAGGATTTGTATATAGAAAATACAAAGAACTCTTATAAATAATAAAAGAAAAACAGTGCAATTAAAAATGATATTCCAGTTATTCAAAAGAGCTATATAAATGACCAGTAAGCCCATGAAATGGTACTTGGCAACTTATGTATCAGGAAATGCAAATCAAAAGCATAATGAGATACAATTGGATTGGCCAAAATGTTCACTCTTTTTTTTTGTTTTGTTTTTCCTGTTAGATGTCTCTAATAGAGTTTAGTTGTCTTTAACTTCATTTGAAACAATTTTGTTAGATTGAATTGTAACAGCTGTCATATCAGTGTGCATTTTTTAAAAAATCTAGATTGGTGGATTTTTGTGTACCGTTTGAACTGAAGATGGAAGAAAAAAGCAATATTTTCAGCATATTTTGCTTTATTATTAATTTTTCAAGAAAGGTAAAAATGCAACTGAAACACAAAAATAAGACAGAGAGAGATTTGTACAATTTATAAAGAATGTGCTATGATTGAACAAACATATCAAAAGTGGTTTGCAAAGTTTCATGCTGGGGATTTCTTACTGGACGATACTCCACAGTCTGGTAGACTAGTTGAAATTGATGACAATGACATCAAAACTTTAATTGAGAACAATCAATGTTATACCACATCGAAGATAGCCAACATACTCAACATTTCCAAATCAAGCTTTGAAAATCATTTGTACCAGTTTGGTTATGTTCATCACTTTGATCTTTGAGTTCCATATAAGTTATGCAAAAACAAAACCTTCTTGATCATATTTCTGCATGTGATTCTCTACTTAAATAACATGAAAGCATTCCACTTTTAGACCAAATTGTGACAGGTGATTAAAAGTGGACATGCTAGAATACTGTGAAATGGGAGAAATCATGGGAAAAGTTAAGTGAAGCACCATCAACCACATCAAATGCTGGCCTTAATCCAAAGAAAGTAATGTTGTGTATATGGTGGGATATACCATAGGGAGCCTGCTATTATGAACATCTTCTGGAAAGCCAAATTAATTAACTCGTTGGGTTAATTGCTAAAGTATCTCTCCCAATTAGAGCAACTGATAGCAGCACTTAATGAAAAGCATCCAGAATTACTCTTCCATCAGGATACTGCAAGACCACATGTCTCTTTGATGACAAGACAAAAACTGTTACAGTTTGGCTGGGAAGTGCTGATTCATCCCCCATATTCACCAGACATTTCACCTCCCATTATTCATTTATTTCAGTCTTTACAAAATTACCTTCATGGAAGAAATGTCAGTTTCCTGGAAGACTGTAAAAGGCACCTGAAACAGCTCT